GGAGCTCACGGCTACCCCCTAGCTATGTCGGCTATGGGCCTGCAGATTCAACTGCTTGCATAAAGATTGGGAAATGTTAGAAGTCAATCAATCAAATAGTGATTATTCAGAATCTTATCAATGATATTTCAGATCAAAACTGATCACCAGGTTCAAACCTACTTCATTGTTATCACAACAAATAAACATACAAACAGCCAAGTATTGTTGCATTCAGACATTTATATCAACTTATAGGCTAGGCAAATGGAAGTTTAACATCCCAAAAATTGCAACAGTTTTTAAATTAGGCTTATATTGTATATTGATACCAGTTGAAAAACATATCAAAAATATAGAAAAATATATGCAGTGGACAAATGTGAAATGTCACATTCTAGGTACCCCCCTCCAAATTTGAGTATGGGATTGTAAATATTTTTTTATTTCAAAATAGAATACTCTTGTCAACTAAACGAGTAATATTATGATAGTTTACTGACATAAGAGCAACTAAAAATTGTTAACCAACTATTTGAGTGCAAAAATTGGCATTTCTAGCCCCAATTATCCGAAAATAGGCCATCAAATAGCCCGTATTTAATTTAACAATGTATCTATTTCTGTATCAATTTATCTGAATTGCATGAAAAAAATCAAGGAGGTTATTGTACACCTGACCATTGTATTTGATAAGTATCAGGGTCATTAAGTGAATATTAAGGGTGAAAATAATATTTGAAATTTCAATATTTTACCACACCCACTTTTGGGGTGACCTTACTTTTGATTAATTACTTCAAAGATATGTCATATTTGAACTCAATAGCACAACTAAATTATTTGTAAAGGCTTATTTTGTCCTGAAATCAGTTTTTTGATGTTTTCAGGAAAGAATTGTGTAAAAAAAGTAAAAAAAACAGCAAATGCCAGGTGAAATATAGGGGAAGCCCTACTTTTAGTTGATAACTGCTAAATTATCAAATGTTTTTCCCTTTAAATTCAATTTGATATATAATATACCTTTTCTGGTAGAACAGAGAACGATTTGTTAGAAATTAAGTAGAATCAGTGGTCTAAAAATATCCTTGAAAAGGCAACAAAATGTTAAATATCCCTGTCCCTGTCATCAGTTTATTAATACAGTATGAGCCAAAAAAGGTAACCCAACCAAATGTTTGTTAATAACCCAGTCATTCAGCATGGGTTTGACATCATATTTGGCACAATTACCTTGTTCAATGTTCTTTCATTCTGCTTAGTGTCATTGATCTATCCTTAATAGTCACGATTTTATGGCCATTTACAAACTGTGCTCAAAATATCGAAATGTGCCTAACTGACTGGACATCAATGCCAAGTCAAGTTTTTTTTTATCTGTGGACCTTTCTTCTATACTAGCAACACTTGAAACATTAAAACAAGAGATAAGAATGAAGATGAGAGCCATAACACAAGATTTTTATGCTCTTGATTTGAACAACTACGCACGATACGTTCAAGTTGGCCTCCAGGCATGACACCCATATTTCATGGCATGGTATAAAATGGCCATAAAATCGTGACCACTAGAGATAGACCACTGAGATTGGGTAGATTGATAATACATTGACCAAGACTCAACTCATGCAGGATGACTGGACTGAGTTATTAAGATTTGTTTGGGTTACCTTTTTGGCTCGCCCTGTATTAAGGAAAAATTGTTACTTTTGACTAAGGTGTTCTTAACCACACAGTGATATTGAGAAATGAAATGAAGAAGTTCAACTGAAGAATTGGATTTCAAGATGAAATTCAATAATTAATGAGGAAAAGGTTTCTACGTTAATAAATCCTACTGAGTTAACTAGTGTAACACAAAGTAAATCCCTGGTCTTTATCGGGGTCTTTATACAGGGCATGGTTCGATTACGTTATGTTCATTGTCAAAAAGCTGCCTTAATTTTGTAATCTTAACCGTCATATATGGCAACAATCAGTTACAAACTTGTCTATCACCAAACTTCATTAAGGGTGGATCTGGGAACCAACAAGGGGGGGGCAAATTTCAGGTCTGAGAAAAAAACATCTGGGCTTGCGCGGGAAAAAAAATTTGGGCCCCTAAAACCCTAAATTTTGAAACATTGAGGCCCATTATCTTCAAATGTGGCCTGTAATTAAAAAATAAGGCCTTAAAAGGCCCACTAATGACCAAAAAGGCCCACTTTTCGGGGCCTTAAGGCCTTTTTCAGGCCCTATTTTTTTCTGGGCCCACCCAAGGGTACCCTGCGTGCAGAGTCTAGTTAAACTACAGACGAAGACGAAGCTCTCTTTTAAGGAGTGAAGTCAAACGAATGCAAAGGGTAACCCAAGGGGGGGGGGGGGGGGGGCGCGGCCCCCAGATCCGCCAGTGTTCATTATTTAGTCACCATTATTTTCATAATCAGTAATGGAGGTATTTGCACAAATATCAGAAATTGGAGGAAGAACACGGGGCTGCAATAATTCAGATCTTGCTGTTCTCTTTTAATAGAATTTTTGAAGCCTAAGTTCAGTTAGGGTTTCACCGTTTTTCCACCTTAAATTGACAAAAGAGCATGTTCCTCTGCAATGACAGAGTTGCTTGCATTTCACTGGTTTCCACTTAATTACGTTGTAACAAAATGTCGGAACATCGAAGGTATGATTTTTCTTTTTTCCTTATTTCACACGTTGTAGGCAGAATTTCCACAACATTGTTATCACAAAATTGTATCAGTATTATGTGTTTAAAAAATGTACATATTTGCGAACAAATAGTTCAGAAGACAACAGAATCGTCGATTTAATTCCTCACTTTATTTACATAAACGGTATTTCGATAAACAGTTAAGATCTGCACTTTTGACCCAAATCGTTTATGTAACTTAGTAAGGAATTAAATCAACAATTCTGTTGTCTTCTGAGCTATTTTTGCGCAAACATGTACATTTTCTAAAACATATGATACTGATACACGATCACGATGGTAAGAAAAAACATCGTGGGGATTCTGCCTATAACGCGTGAAAAAAAGAAAAAAGAAAAATCGTACCTTCGACGTTTAGACATTTTGTTACCGAAACGACCCATTTGGTAATTTAAAAACAACCGCTTGTTTTCTCAAGAACTCTATCTTTTTTATCTGCCTCGATGATAGCTTCTTGTCTATGCCAGGTATAAACAGAATGCGGTGTCACACCCCAGAAAAGATAAACAAAAGACAATCTTATTTCATTTATATTCCAACATTTTGTTTCTTGGGTTACTGCTTTTGGTTCAGGTTTGAGGAAAATGTTGAAGTTTGTGTACACAAAGAGATCTGTATGAGAACTGTATTTGAGGTTTGGACACTTTGGATTACAGTTTTCACAATCACAATATCTGCATCCGATTCTGAATGTAGCACATGCACACTCAATGTTTTCCAACCTGACAGACAGAATTACCATCATTCCTACGCACTGAAATTATATTAATGAAAGACTCCCCAGATATCTGAGATTTAAATGTGCTCTATCAGTTTAAATTCCGTTTAATAACCATAAATTAGTTTCTACAGCATTATACATCCAATTGATAGTTCCATAGTAATGTACTCCTATGTGATGATTTATTTATCTGATGGATTTAAATATATGCAAATTTTGTAATTGCGGATTGTAATTAATAATTTTAATTTAAACAATATTAAATTGCACAGAAACTACAACTTACATTATTTATTTAGATAAGCCTAGTATAGCAGTTATCAAATACCCTAATACCCTAATATCAAAGTGGTGATTTGTAATTATTCATCAAATAAAAGTGAGGTCACCTTAACATTTCACCTGGTGCAACTAATAATTCCTATTTTTCATACTAATAAGGTATAAACCTTCACAAAACTTGTATTTTAGATGATGACAAGCCTATATAAACGATTTAGATGTCAACTCTAACACAAATGTGATGCATTGTGGGAGTTAGTCATAAAAACTATAGTCTCCCCTATAGTGGGTGGGGCAAAACTATGAAAATGAAGTAATTTTTTTCTTCCTAAGTATACACGTTAGAATTCTGACACTCTCCAAATATGAAGTTCATATGAATATGTAACACCATGATTTTTTTCATGTTTTTCTGACAAACTGATCCTAAAATATCTAAATAGATATGTGATAACATGCCTGTTTTGTGCCTATTTTGTTATACTTTGGGGTCAAATGACCAATTACTGGTCTCAAAAATGATTAAAATAATATTTTAATTATTTGTGAATATGTTATCTATCATAATAAAGCTTGAATACTTGACTAAAGTATTCCATTTGGGAAGAAAAAATTGTTTCCTACCAATACTCAATTTTGGGGTAGGGCTGTAGGGGGTACCTAGGAAGTGAAATTTCATATTTGTCCACTGCATACATTTTTCTATACTTTTGATATGTTTTTCAACTGATATCAATACATAATATAAGACTAATTTAAAAACTGTTGCAATTTTTGGGATGTTTGGGCCTTTTATGAGCCCATTTGCTTAGCCTATTATGCAATTCTGACATCTTTACATTTACATAAACTATGAAATTCAACATCCCCAACTTTAAATAATCAGAATTCCTAACAGAATTGTGGTAGATAAATGATGTCAGAGTCAGAGAACAATGAATTTTAGGAATTCCAAACAAAGTCACAAGGTTTCTATTTATGCTATATAATTCATTGAACTCAATTCAAGCTTAATTTATTATGATTTTATTCGTTTTTTGCACATCCATGATTCATGGCATCTATGTTTATTTGAGTATTTGCAATTTACAGACATTCACAAGAATGCATACTAGGCTTTACATTTACACTGGGCCACTGGATAACACTCTAATTTCCTTATATTTTAAGCTGCTTTAATTTGGCGGATTGGGCAATCTTTATTTTGGCGGATTTACCCATCAGTAAAATGTGGATATTAGAGGGTTTATGATGCAAATAATGCTCTCATTTTTCAAAAAATAACCAGCAATGGATCTAGATCTTCGACAAATGTTTTTATCCTGCAAGGGAATCCCCGGAATTTATTAAAAAAATTGCCGAGACTTAATATGGTGGTTGTCATCAATCTGCCATATTAAAATGGTGGTCAAATTAAAGCAGCTTACATTGCCTTATTTTGGAATTAAATAGCTCGAAGAAAATATGCTTCTCATGAATAACTCACATACTAAATGTGTAGATTTGATGGCAATTGTGATTTCCCCTCAAAAATATGTATTATATTGATCTTATATAATGTATTTTGTGTGATTCCAACAAAATTTTCATCCTTGTCCCCAGCCCATAAAACCATGATAAGTTACCTGCTAACAATCCGTTCATATTTATAAATTCATATTAAGTCAGTGAAGTATGCGCGCTGATTACTAATTAGATCATTGTTTTATTTAAAATATGTAATTGAAATTTCATGTACATGCAGATAAAAGCTATTGCAATCTTATTATTCTACATTTAAAAAAATAACTAATTTCTCAAATACATGATGAAAACAATTTTCATCATTTAGTTTTTTTATGCTGCCTTGCCCTATAAATATCATGCGCAGGTGGCGCCACTGTTTCTTCATCATCACTCTCCTCATTTTCATTTTTTAAATTTAAAATCTTTCGTTTTCTCGCCCCTGATGCAATGTCCAATGAAAACCGGGTACCCAAGTCCATTTTAGATTCATCTACTCCATTCTCTATTACTACTGGACCTGAAAAGGAAAAGGGGAATTTTCCATTTAATATCTTTCTTCCTTTGAAGCAATAATGTATAGTCTCTGTGTGCTTTTTCATTTATTACTGTCACTATTTACTTTAATGGGTCATATACGGGACTTCAATTCTGTAAGTATGGAAATATAAAATGAATCAATATTTTGCTTGAATTAATGGTTCAAAAGTTTTGAAATAAGACTAACCACTTAAGATAACTATTTTCAGTGTGGGGCACAATTCAAATTTTTACAGTGGTGTCCAGCAGGTCAAAAATACATCTTAATTTTTCTACTTTTAATTGGTTAAAAAAAGGTTTTCAGATGGGTGCAAGCGCATTTCCATAATCTCAGCTGGTTGTGTCAACCAATTGTTTCAATACTATGGTGATCAGAGCACATATATTGTTTTACAGTATTTACTTACCATCTGGCAGTGCCAATTTCGCAAAATTTTCCATAAATTTGTCCATGACAACAAAGGGACCCTGAAAATACATTAAAAAACTCAAAATAAATCACTGAACTTATGTCAAAAAATGAAAAGAGAACACATATGGTATATTAGTTATCATTGCTGCTGTACAGTAATCACTGGTACTATCTATTTGGACATGGACACTGAAGAATTACGACAGATGATCAAACAAATATGGAGACAAAAATGGACATTTTCTCTGTATCCCAGTGGTATGATAATTGGAAAAAATATTACGATTCAGAAATGGATTTAAAATACATGAAATAAGACTCAAGACAAGACCTCTAAAAACATACACTTACTTTAAAAGATGTAGGTGGTGGTAGCTTCGACAAGAGTTCTGATGCAGCGGGTGGTGGGGGAAAAACTCCACCAGGAATGGGATGGTTGCCTGTAGCTGCAAAATAGAATTTTTCATATTTTCAATCCTCACATCGATATACAAGGGAGAGTAGAACATGTTTTTGTGAATGATGAAGCGAACAAAAACATATTGTTCATATTGTGTCATTACATTCCAAAAGTGAAGAGTTATTTTTAATTTGTTTATTAACCTTTATAATTTTGAGTATAATGTTTCAGTGGTAAAACAATTGGCCGGCAAGCGAGGGGTCGTGGGTTTGATCCCCACATGGGTGAACTGACCATCAGCCCTTGGCACAGGATTTCATTGTGTTTTCATTAACTTCATTAACTAATTCATTAACTATAAAGAGGAATGAGTAGGTGAAAAGTGTCTGTTGAAGAATGAATCGATGGAGTTAGCAGCTTTTAATAATTCTGTAAGTCACATTCCGCTGGGAAAACACAGACAAAGAAACAAAAGTGGACAGGATTGATTTTCATAATACCCTTCTTCATACTTACGGACTATTTTTCTGGGTTTAAATGGTATCATTTGATTGAGATCTGGCTTTGGGTATACACTTGATTTCTTAACTTCAGTAGTAGACTTCTCCTCTGCTTCAGTCTTGATTGGTTCAGGTGTGTTGCTAAGGAAACCAGGTGTTTTAGCCTGACGTGATAAATCCTGAAAACACATAGGAATAAGAAATGAGCAAATACAAGACAATCATGTAACCCAAATGTCAAAAGACTAGCCTCGGTTTGAAGAAAGAAGTTCATCAGTCAACTGCACGTTACGCCTGCTTTGGACAATTTTGATATTTTTACATATTGTAGATTTAAATGAGACTTGTCCTTTGCTATTCTGTTGTCCAATTTGATGAAGCCAGCGTACCACTCATCTTAATTGAAAACCCTAAAACACTTTTCAACTTCATTTGTACAAGTTTTTTGGAAAATAGCAAGGAATATTAATGATTCAAATATTTTTCCAAAAATAAAGAAGTATTTTTCAATTCAAGGAGTTCTACTGAAGGTATTTACATTTTCGTATGTTCACAGTTCAAATTAGTCAAATGTTACGGACCTGTGTGTGCCACATAAAAAACATATGTGAGGAAATAACTCTCTTGAAATCGAGAAAGATCCTCACATTTATAAGACAGACTGTGGGAAGTTAACATGTCAAATTTTGTTTGATTTGGGTGAGACAGAAAGTAAGTCTATATTTTCAGCAAACTTACTTTATATTGCAAAGCCCTGAGTTCTGCATTGGAGCAAGGGTAAAGGTCCATGTATTTGTACCTGTCAACCAATAAAGCTGTTTCACTGCCAAACTGAAATCACAAAAACAACTTATCAGTTCAACAAGGTTTAGAAATTCAAAGCTGCCCGACTGCCAGTGGCAATCAATTTTTGCTCTTGGCATTGGACTTACTAACTGGTTACTAATTGGGTAAAGAACTGAATGCCAACATATTTAATTGTGGTAATCATATTTCCACCCGTCAACCCTTAGATCAACCAAAACATGGCATAAAATTTTGAGTCGTATCAATTTACTGTTAAACTGGCTGTAAAATATACAACTTTCACTAGCATCTTTTTCAGTCTACAAAATGCCCTATTACCTTTCCCTCACATAACTGTGCCCTGCGCTTCTCCACTTTCAGTATACTGGCAAGGTCACCAATCTGAGTCTCAAACTCAAGAAATGTGGCCCAGATCTCACTGAAATCAGAGAATGTTGATATAAGAGAGTAAAGATTCGAGCTAGTAAATATCGAAAGAAACATGGCAATGATCAATACAGTTGATCTGACCTTTATACAAGCTAGCAATGCTTCAATTAGGATTTGTTTTTTTCTAAAGAACAATTTCAATTTAAATGAGACACCAGAAGATATATAATGCAGTAGAAAGAGGGTTTCCATACAGATTGCAGTATTTAAATAACCTAGTACTGCATCAAATGGGAATTTCAAACATTCACTACTCTTCAAAATCCTTTATCCATTAAATTAAAACATAATCATGAAATGTTGTGATAGTCTAATAGTAATAATAGATAATATGAGAGTTACACACCCAGTTGATAAATAATTCTTGGGGGACTATGTAATTTGATACTAACTTTGCCTTATCTGCCTCCAAAGCACCCGAAGAGAGTGCTCTCTCAAAAAGCACCCGAGTGTTGTTTTCCTCTGAAAATTAGATTTATTAAATTATGACATTTACAAAATGAATACAGGGGAATTTGTGTAATCTCATGATATAAACATATTTTGCTTGGGATAAACCTTGAATCCAAAATTACCAGTACATACAAGTCTCATATCATATATCCTGTTATGAGACTGTTGTTGAAAAAATGTATCCCTCCATTTATATAATGTGCAGGGGTAATTTAACTTAAAATATCTCAAAACCAGAATATTTCAATATATTGGTTCATGCCTGTTCATTCCTGCTTAGGGTTCAGAAGAGAGAAATGACACATTGATACTGGACTTACCATTTAAATGAGACATGTACTCTAAATATGCAAGTACATATTCTGGAATGCTCCCATACTTCTTTAGCCCAAGCTCAAATATTTTAAATGCAACACTTTTGTCCTGAAAAGAAGGGAGTAACACATGTTATGAATATTATGCAGCAATTAATCCTGGAAATGAAGATATGGTAATATGCCTTTCTTAACATGGGGTTTCTAGAGAAGGGTATGCTACTTTGTGAAAAAATGGAAACAAGACATTAACATGACACTGTGTCATCCACTGGTTGCATTTACAAGTGATGCATTTGCTACAGACAGGAATACAAAAATGGAGATACTGACCTCCATATACCAATAATAAAATTGGAACACAAAAATAAAGCTGACACTAATAAGATATATAGCTTACTTTACTAGTGTAGTATTCCATTAAGGCAGCTGCTATATAAATATGGTATTTACATCTAGAATCTTCTCTGGCCATCTTAAATAATGCCCTTGCTGATTTAATGCCCTCGGCCCTTCTCCCAAATTTCATATACTGGATATAAACCTGAAAAAAGAAAATTAGATTGCACATCTTCTTAAGCACTGAGTTAGTATTTAGGATCATAATACTAAATACCTATGTGTTTGCTGATGATGAAGTGTAAAAGCTATTATGAAAATAAGAGACAGAATACTGTATAAGTGGTATTTAATCCGAGTGGTTAATTTTCCGAATGGTCAAATTTCATCATTTTCCTAATTTTAATTTTCCTAATGACAAGAAACCTCCCATTGGATAACATTATAAACTAGACTATATTTCCGACATTTAATTTTCCGAACCTGGCAAAAATTAGGAAATAGGCAAATTAAATGATTAGGCAAAATTACCACTTATACAGTATTCAAACATCCATGTCAGGCTCTTCTTTAGATTTGCATGACTTGTCAGGGCTATATGCTGGTCAGAGCAATTGTCTAGTCTGAATTTGTTGTCAGAGCAATTTCATCAAGTATAGGAGCATTTGATATTACATTGTACAATATAACTTATATATGTCACTTTTATTTTGACATTTGTGTTATACTTACTAATGTTGGATCAAGGTCCTGTGACCCTAGAGCCTTTTTGTAAATACTGTGAACTTTTTCATATTTCATTCGACCCTACAATTAGAAATACAAATTGAATAAGTCCTATGTGTTATTGCAATGAAATAGTTTCCCATTTGTTGGGCTGAGGCAAAAGGTCATTAAATCAAGACTAAAGAGAAACAAAAATCTAATATCTTATTTTATTTTGTTATCCTAATTAAAAATGGACTAAATTTATTCAAATTTAAACAAATGAACGACAAAGCGTTCATGACTAATTTGAGTTGAAATTGTACTATAATCCAAGCTAATAATCTCACTTTTGTTCAAGCCTAAATTCATATGGGTCCAACAGATTTTGGAGTTTTGTTTGGTCTTGTATCAAAGCATACCGAATTAGACAAATATACTGTGAGGTGCCAACATTTATTTTTGTATTTTTTATACAGTGGCGTAGCGTCGTTTACGCAAAGTACGCAAATGCGTCCACTGGAACAATCCAATGTTTATCTGAATATTTGGAAATTCTAAATTTCTCAAGTTTTAATAAGCAAAGCCATTGTTCAAATTATACTCTCATAATTTCGTGAATACTCTTATGTAATTCATATGACCTCCCTGTATTAAGTACACAATGACTGCTCATGTGCCGAATCCAGCTCCAGTTTTGGCGTAAGTATCTTTTGAATTTAATGATTAGGGATAGTTAATCAATTACGCTAATATCTATATACTATAATAATATTCAAGCAAGATTTGGCTGTACCTTTCATCCATAAATCTTATCGGAAGACATTGAATAAGAGTAATCAACAGTGCTGTCTGCTGCAGACATCTTTTTGTTCAGTGTAAATTATTCAGGTAAGATTTTTACAACGTTTGATAACGTAAATTGCACTTCCTGGATCCTAAATAAATTAGCTAGATTTCTCCATTCATTCTTAACGATACATTAAATATTTTTGCTTGAATTTCTACAAGACTTATAATGAGTACTTATGAGTAAATTTCAAGTGGAAATGAATGCGTGTCGGGTAAACCCCCCCCCCCATCCCAATTTTGGAATTTTGCGTCCCCTAGTAAAATTGCCACGCTACGCCACTGTTATATGTGAGGTGCCAACATATTGCACCACCAGAGCCTGGCTAACTATTACTAACCTCCTCAAAGTCTGCATAAGCGAAGAAGAGTAACATATTAGACTTCATGAGTGTAGAGGTGGAACGTTCATAGATCAGGGCAGCTTCATCTGCAAATTGTTTAGCTGAGTTCTGGTCCTAGAAATAGAGAATTTGACTTTTAATCAGTAGCTCAAACTGAAGTCCAACCTGGGGCTAAAGCTTTTTAATATGAGGATGTACATTATGAGTAAATTTGATCTGGAATTGACTTGTAAAGAGAGATACATAAGATACATTTTGATGTATATGTAGGCACTGCATGAACCTGGATATTTAGACTAAAAAACAATGTACAGTACAAGTACATCTCACACTGCCAAGAATTTAAAAATCGTTATATTTTCAGATGCAGTGAATAAATCAAAAATAAGTGTTGTTTTTTTTAACTCCTAGTTTATGAGATCATTTCATTGGATTTGGAAATGTAGTCCTTTTTACAATAACATGTGTTTCGGAGAAGTACCAGGTACACTACTATAGTACAGTCAGCAAAATTTATTACTGAATTACTGAAAAACTGCTATAGAGTTAAATCAATGGACGTATGCTACATACCCCTTTTTCTGTGAGTAATTTACTTGATTGTTCCAAGTAACAAGCAGCCTCATACCAAATATCAGGATGGTGCCCAAGGCAGAGGAGACACTGCTCAAATGCAAACATAACCCTCGTTGTCATCTTCGCATGGTCTTCTGTCCTCAGAGGGTTACTCTTTTCCCAACTGATATATTTTTTCCAAAGTTCAACCTGAAAAATGTCAAAATAATGCTTTAAATATAACATTCATTCATGTATCATAACAGGATTTTAATACAAGGTGGATCACTTTTGATGAATTGAGATTTAGTTTGTTACATTTTAAGAGAGCTTGACACTTTGTATGGCTAACTCTGCATAATAATCTTGAAAGTAGAATAGGCATGTAAAATGACATTAACACAAAAGTTTTGGATTTCCTATGAGTGGACTAGTAAGAGGTGGAAATCCACAGGGTTCAAATTAACAGTCGCCTGACTGGCGATGTACTTGGTAGACCTGGAAATACTTGTTGACTTAATATGATAAATTGTAGAAATAATGTTTTTAACTTGAGTTACGAACTCCAAGAAAGAATTGACAGTAAAATCTGTCTAGTCTAATCCGAATGCCAAAGGGAGCAGCAAAAAGCTTTTCAGATTTTCAGATGTTTACATTTTAAGGTTTTTTAACATGGAAGTCTATGGCAGATTAAACAAGGCACTAACATGCAAAATGTCACCACCTGCTATCTGAGACACAACTGACTGCCACATGCCTGACAACAACTGCCGAACACTGTCATCTGAACACAGTCAACAAAAAGTTGGTGACTTCTGAAGGTGACATAAAAATTGGACTGAAAAAGTGTTCACATTGAGAGGTGTTTGGATTAGAGAGTTGTTCAGATATACAGGATTGACAATATATTATGTTAATTTCAGTCAATGCTCAAATGTACCTGCTTGGCTTCCTCCGGTGTATTGGTGGGTGGGATTGAGGGTAGATTCCTCTGGAGGCCCTTTGTCATATTTTCATATTCTTTAGAGACTCTCTTAGCATTAGCGTAAGCCTTCCCTCTGTCTTCTACCATCTTCTTGGCAATTAATGGATTGATGGCCTACAGTAATAATAAAAATTTATTTATTTCTTAAAGAATGAATGTGATCACTGGAGTAAATTGTGCATTTAATGGAGAGAATACAACCCTTAATATTGCTTTTTATAACATTTGGCCTTTCAAAGTTTGATATATGTTTAATGGCACCAACCTTCTGAATGAGGCAATTTTTCAGAAAACAAACAAAAAAGCATAAACTGGAGAACAAACACTTGGTGATGCCAAAATTGTTAATTTTATTACTTTGACAAAGAGTGTCTTTTAACCAATCAAACATATAAGGGGCATACAGGATATTGATGTTGCGCCTCCCCTCAAAGAGGAGAATACGCCACGCTTAATTGGTTAGCCTTGAAGATATCACTACGACGATGTCACTTCAAACATTTCCATAAAGCTCTTTCTTAACATATTTGTTTTACTTTTGATATTGCTTTATTACCTGTTCATACTGATTGTACTCCTTCCAGACTTGCTCTATACCTATCATAGGGTTGATGACCGCACGCTGGTAGACTTTACGAACTGCAGTGATTCGCTGGTTTTCCGCATATGAACCCACTGCCTCGCTGTAAAATAAGAAGCAGGACTTGACATTTTTGGACCGCTTACAAAAGTGTATATATAATATTTTTGCAAGTGCATTTAATATTCAAGCAATTTTTTCAATGTCACCTGAAGTTATATAGGTGGTATAAGCCAACTTTGTGAATTCATGAATTGGTAGATTTTCAATGTTATCTGAAATATAGGTAGTACTGGTTTATGTATAAGCTTGAAACCAACAAAAATTTCTGATTTACAAAGGCAATATGACATCACTTCTACTGTTATTTTGAGTCTTGAGATACACTATTAATAAAAACATATACTTGGGTGCATCAAAAAATTTTGCAATTTTGACTCTATCGCAATAACTATATTGAGTTATGTCATCATATTTGGCACATACAGTGATCATACATTTTTGGACATACATGTAAAATTTGGAGACCGGATCTTCATTTTTTAAGAAAATATGGTTGTCATAGCAACATAAGATGCGACCTTATGGTTCCATGCAAATTTATTATTACGCAATAAAAAGAATAAATGACATCAATTTGCCAACACCTTGTTTAGTCTCATATTAACAATTTTCTGCATATTAAAATATTGTTTTCAAAATCCTATTATCAATTTTCTGCAAACATTGTTCTCAAATTATTCAAAATAATTGCCCCCAGCTGCCAAACATTGTTGATGTCTGTGGACCAAGTCTCTGAAGACAGCCTGAAATCCCCCTGCTGATAAAACAGCAAATCGCTTCCTCACGGCTGCGGCAAGTTCCTCCTGGGTATCAAAGCGCATGCCCCTCAATCCCTTCTTCATATGACTGAACAAGAAGAAGTCACAGGGTGATGTGTCTGGGGAGTAAGCTACCTTTGGTACACGCTCTCAATCTAGGTCCTCTAGAGCATCCATTGCCACCCTACTTGTATGGGGCCTTGCGTTGTCCATATTGAAGTGGGGTTTGTAGCCAAAAATATACTTGAAACAAAATGGCTGCCAGAATTTACAAGTTCTCCCCACAATCTACATCACAATGTAAATCCATATGTCATAAGTCTTGTGTTGTGTCATCAGAACAATAAGAAATAGAAAATGGGAATGAAAAGACACACAAATCTGTAATTTTGGTGACTGAATCATAATAATAACAGAATATAATAGAATTTAAAATTAACATATTTTAGGTGGAACCGAGTACCCTAGGGTCCAGTTACCATAGCAACCATATCTTTTTGACTAATCACAGATGAGCATACAAATCATGACACATTATGTATAGATATATGATCTATAATTGTGCCAAATTCCAAAGCAAAGTTAAATGTAGAACTTGAGATAGTGTCAAAATTGCAAAACTTTTTGATGCACCCAAGTATATAACATAAAAATTGTTCAAATTTATTATGTTCTACCTTGCTTTTGAAAGTATCATTTATCTCATAAGTTTATGCCTTATGGGACTTCAATGGGACAGTATGCACAGGGACAGTTTACTCTCTTACTGAGATTTTGTCGGATCCAATTTACCTTTGTGGTGTAAAATAGCATACACAAGGTTAACGCTTATACATGGGGCAAAGGAAACCTCTTTGTTTCTGTTTTTCTTAAATCAATAATCTTGAAGAGATAATTTCACTGTTTCCTTCACACTGGTGTACATTTACATTTTCAAGCTTCATTGGTTAATAAAAAGATATGCATTGTTAAATATGGGTTAAATTTTTTGAAATGCCTTGTATTGTATACTTGTATAATGAGGTGTTTCCCTTGACATTGTTGCAAATAATTGCTTCAATTGCCACCTCATTAAATGAAATAACATAAATACAGGTTCATGGTTGAAATTGATCTCCAGTGATTATAACTACAAGATTCCAATCTATACTGCTGTTACCTTCAGACATTCTATAAATAATTAATACATCACATTTAATAGAAGCCTTGTTGATTAAGTCGCCTATAAGGCAGAATCAAAGATAGCAATCTTTGTATCATATCATACTTAGTATATCATTCTCTTGGATATTTTCCAAAAGCACATTGGCCCTTTCAGATAAAAAACAAGGCATTAACATGTCACCACCTGCCATTTGTTAAGACTGCCAAACACCAAACACAGAATGCCATCCACAAAAAAATTGGAGACTATAACAAAATGTTACCACTTCTGGAAGTGACGTAAAAGGTATTTCAAAGCTGTAACATTTTATGAGATAGTGTTAACTTTCCCTGAGATATAAGAAAACATTTGTTTGATTGATCACTACTATATGTATAATACAAGTGCAACAAGTAATTCAGCCAAAATGAGAATCTAATTAAATCAAATTATAAAATTAAATTAAAACTGGCACGTCTTGAAATTGACTTTCTGGGCAATGATAATAATAGCCTGATAAAAATTGTGACTTTGCAATACACACACAATCTTTAAATTACACAAAACCTGCTAAATTATGATTTTGTAATTTATAACTCATGATCTCGATGTGCTATAATTGTGAGTTTGTGTTACAACACTCAGGAGTTATAAATTGTTCATGATGTACTGTAATGCAATTCTCATCATCTGTGCTCCATATTAGGGGTACCACGATACGAGAAATTGAATATCAATATGTATCTATGATACTGACCTCACGATACGATACAATGATACAGCGTAAATTGAAGTAAAACTGAACTTTATTCTAAATTTTCAAACTTGTAAAGCCGGAAGTACTTCAGCCGGATTACGTTTATTTCACATCACGACAAAGAAAGGTGTAAAATATGCTAACATCGATTAAAACATTTTAATGACGTTTGGTATTCGGGAACTAGCGGGGCAAACGAAGGTGGCCAGCCAGATACGTAACTATGACTGTCTGTCATCTCTAAGCTCTGAGTTTTTCTCTTCCTTTGGGTAAGTAAGAAGGGACTTCCGGTCAAAAAACGATATGACCGATATTCATTTTATGTATCGATACAGCTTGTATTTGAGGTGAATTGCTCCAGCACTCAAGCACTCGTGCGCTCGCGGTACCCCTAATCCATATGTATAAATTGTCCACAAAAAAAGTTGGGTTACCATGCAACTTACTGTACAACATGACCTGCTGTTCAAAAATGAATTGTGAACCATTTTTTTCCTGGACACACGGAAATTAAATCAACTGGCCCATAATAAAAGTCACTGGACATTGTCCTAGGGCCAAACATTGCCCTATGGGTAAATGCTAATACTGTACCCTTCTAGCTTGGCCAAACTCACATACAGAATTTACTTACACTGATTTGAGAAAGTTGATATAGTCAATCCAGATCTGAAGGGACATAATATCCATGCCGATTTTATCCAATGCAAAGTCATAAGCTTGGGCCATCTTCTCCCTGAAATATAAGAACAGACTTATTATCAATCAAGCCCTTGTAAATTCCCACCACCCTTTTAAATCTCGGCTCCACAAGGTGATAAAGGGGGGGGGGGGTGCAGGCCTGACGCAAGACTACATAGACCTCAATATTACATGACATGCATCTACATGTAAATGTGGACATTCAGATTTCAAAAAGGTTTTTGCTCAATAACATACAGTAGATATATAGTCTAAGAGTAGATATATACTGTAAAACGGGTATTGTTAGCGAGGGGTAATTGTTAGCGATTGTTAGCGATCGCTATAGTTTCGCTAAAAATTCAATTCGCTAAAATAAACCGGGGTTAGAATAAACCGGGTGCTAAAATTTGCAAATTCCCGGGAAACTACATGAATACTAGTATTTAAGGAGCTTTTCGTTCAGTGCTCAACTTCCGGTTTGTAATTTGAAAAAGGTAAATATTTTTAAATCGTATGTTTCTTTCAATATCTGAAGGATAAATAGCCATCCATCCAGTTTTGACCAATACCATGTGCGTTAGAAGTCTTACATTTTGATAATTTCTCTGTCATGTCCGTTATTCATTCTTCTGCCATAAATGATAAAATTTCTAATGCATTTCTCTAATTTGATCTTTTAAAGATTAATCTTCATTTCGCTAAAATTTCCCGCGCTAAAACCCCCTAAAATTGAAAAATCGCTAAAATTTCCCAGTGTCAAAATTACCTGTTTTACAGTAATCATCAAACAAAAGAAACAATTGATATTAAGACTTTGTAGTTGGCTATAGTATTACACAGTATCACCTTGATAATTTTCAAAGTTTCTAAAGCTAAAATTAATGAGGGCCTACCCACCTATAAGAAGGGAGGGAACCTTTTGTTTCTTTGATGTAGTTCAGATACGTCTTCCAGAGATCTATGTTCAGTACTTTTATAAGACATCGCTGAAACAACTGAAACAAAAAAAAATCAACTAAAACAAAAGCAAATCCCCAGAGTAGCAAATCCCACCAAACAAAACATATTTTATCAAATCACTTGTCATTTGGAACATTTTATGATAGACATAACCAGGCAGTACAGAGTTAGTATTGTTCTCTTTTAGCAAACTCTAAACTCATGATGTTATATGACACCATAATTATGATTCACATCTCTAGTAGAGGACCTTTGTTAGGATTTACCTCTTAAGTAAGGATCCTTTGTCCCATAAGGTAGGCTATCAGCTTACAAATTTTGGACTAAATCCTATCACCAGTATTTGAGTTATCAGAAAATCTGTAGTTAATTTTGATGTGGCTTTGTACTTCTTATGAAAGACAGTGGCTAGAAATGAACAACTGTTGGCTTTCTTTCTGCAATTTCAAATAGACAAATGTACAAAAGCATACCTTACCTTTTCTACTCTTTCATAGTTTCTGTGTTTCATCTAGAAATAAAGTAGAACATAATATGATACACATCAGTACAACCAGCAATAACTTAACACATGTGGTACAATCAGTGTTAACAAAAACATACTTAGCACAATCAACACAAATAGTAACTTGCGCAGCACAATCAGTGTTAAGGAAAACATATTTGGCACAATCAATACCAAAAGTAAAATACTCGACAGAATCAGTGTTAAGGAAAACCAATCAATACCAATAAGAGCATACACAGTGGTACAATCAGTGTTAACAAAAACATACTTGGCACAATCAATAACAAGACCAATCATTCAGCACAATCAGTGTTCAGAAAAACATACTTTGCACAATCAATACTAAAAGTAACATACTCAGCATAAACAGTGTTAGGGAAAAAATACTTGGCACAATCAATACCAATAGTAACATTCTTAACACAATAAGTGTTAACAAAAGAAACAAACTTGGCGCAATCAATACCAAAAGTAACATACTGGGCACAATCAGTGTTTTGGAAAACATACTTGGCACAATCAATACCAATAGTAACATACTCGGCATAAAACCAATAGTAACACACTTGACACAATAAGTGTTAACAAAAAAACATACTTGGCACAATCAATACCAATAGTAACATAGTTGGCACAATCAATGCTAACAAAAACATACTTAGCACAATCAATACTAAAAGTAACATACTGGGCCCAAACAGTGTTAAGGAAAACATACTTGGCACAATCAATAACAAGAGCAACCATTCAGCACAATCAGTGTTTACAAAAACATACTGGGCACAATCAATACCAATAGTAACATACTGGGCACAATCAGTGTTAACAAAAACATACTTTGCACAATCAATACTAAAAGTAACATACTGGACACAGTGTTAAGAAAAACATACTTGGCGCAATCTATAACAAGAGCAACCATTCAGCACAATCAGTGTTTACAAAAACATACTTAGCACAATCAATACTAAAAGTAACATACTGGGCACAATCAGTGCTAACAAAAACATACTTGGCACAATCAATAACAAGAGCAACCATTCAGCACAATCAGTGTTTACAAAAACATACTTAGCACAATCCATACCAATAGTAACATACTGGGCACAATCAGCATTAACAAAAACATACTTAGCAACTGACAATCAAAAAAATTCTATAGTGTGTAATTATAGTCTTATAAAACCTTAATTAAGCCTTAATTTCTCAATGCATAATAGTAGTTCAGTCAACGTGAATATATCAATGTTTATGTTTCTTTAATTGGAGGTTATTGTAGACAGTGTTGTAGATTGATCATACAATACCAAGGTTTAAATTAGATAATAATTGGTGGTTAGAGTGTCTTAGAGATTCAGTGATTGATTTGATCCATCTCTGTGCAGTTCTTATATTATTGTGTATTGTCCTCAATATTAAAGCTGCACATCGCTCTAGAACACAATCTTTGGTTGTTCAAGAGCCAACTGTAAGATTTTTAGCTTTAATGAAAGTAAATACATTGGTGAGCGAATGGGGGAAATCTTGTTTAAAAATACTCACGATAAATGTGTCATTATGAGGATTGTTCTTTGAATTGTTTCGATTGTCGTCGACAATATTATTTTTGGAAGGTTTCTATAGGCCTATTTAGAATGTGACCTCACAACTGAATTAGAACGTTCAATATTTAGTACATGTAGTAGCATAAATTACTCTCTAGTATTCATAGACTGATGTTGGTCTTATGGTAGAATGCCTGCCGTGGGCGTCCTACCCGGGAATTTATTTTTGTTTTTTAACTCTAAAATGCTTGTGCTTTGATATAACGCAGAAAAACAGCTTTTAATCAAGTCAAACCCTACACTAGAGCTTTAGTAATCTTGTTGGCTGTATGAAAATATAGATATATAATGTATGTCGAAATATTGCGTTTAAGAGCAATGTGCGGGTTTAATAAAGAGTCCATCACCAAACTGACTACTGTCTCGGTTAAACTTGTATTTGTGAATGGAAATAACAGCTGTCGGCTACCGGATTAAACTACTTTTTTATTGACTGACTAGTTATACCGTTTTGATTGAAGGGTTATGCATACTGATTGACAGCTATTGATATGCCCTATGATTGACAGGAATGCCCTTTAATTGACAGGTGTGTCCTTTCATTGGTTGATATGCCCTATGATTGACAAAAATGCCCTTTAATTGACAGGTGTGTCATTTCATTGGTTGATATGCCCTATGATTGACAGGAATGCCCTGTAATTGACAGGTGTGTCATTTCATTGGTTGATATGCCCTATGATTGACAGGAATGCCCTGTAATTGACAGGTGTGTCCTTTCATTGATTGATTTTTCCTATAATTGACAGGAATGTCCTTTAATTGACAGGTGTGTCCTTTCATTCATTAATATACCCTAGAATTGATGGGAATGCCCTTTAATCCACAGCTGTGTCCTTTCATTGATTGAAATACCCTATATAGATTGATAGGAATGTCCTTTTATTGACAGGTGTGTCCTTTCATTGCTCGATATACCCTATAATTGACAAGAATGCCCTTTAATCGACATGTGTGTCTTCATTGATTGATATACCCCATAATTGACAGGAATGCCCTTCTTTAATTGACATATGTGTCCTTTCATTGATTGATACACCCTATAATTGACAGGAATGCCCTTTATTGACAGGTGTGTCCTTTCATCGATTGATATGCCAATTGACAGGAATGCCCTTTAATTGACAGGTGTGTTATTTAATAGATTGATATGCCAATTGACAGGAATGCCATTTAATTGACAGGTGTGTCCCCGACTCAATTCATTGATTGATATACACTATAACTGACGGGAATGCCCTTTAATTGATTGACAGGTATGTCCTTTCATTGATTGATATGCCAATTGACAGGAATGCCCTAAAATTGACAGGTGTGTTATTTAATAGATTGATATGCCAATTGACAGGAATGCCATTTAATTGACAGGTGTGTCCCCGACTCAATTCATTGATTGATATACACTATAACTGACGGGAATGCCCTTTAATTGATTGACAGGTATGTCCTTTCATTGATTGATATGCTCTTTAATTGACAGGAATTTCATTTGTTTGATATACCCTATAATTGACAGGAATGCCCTTTAATTGACAGGTGTGTCCTTTAATTGTTTGATATGCTCTTTAATTGACAGGAATGTCCTTTAATTGTTTGATATACCCTATAATTGACAGGAATGCCCTTTAATTGACAGGTGTGTCCTTTTATTGATTGATACACCCTATAATTGACAGGAATGTCCTTTAATTGAAAGGCGTGTCCTTTCATCAAAATAGACCATATAATTGACAGTTGGTAAACCCTTACCTTGAGAGGTATCCCTCCTGATTGATGGGTAATGGCCTATAATTGACAGGTTGTACTTTGTTTGATGTATTTGGCAGTGTACTTTAATTGGGTTAGCATGACAATATTGGAATATATGCCCCTTTTCATTGACAGAGAATCCGAATATTAGCAAGAAACTCCAATGGTCTATTTTTCTATCTTCTCCAAATAAAAACGTACTCTTAAACATGTTTTCAAATAAAAGCCAAAAATATTGCCCAGCACTATAATGGTTCAACGTGCTGGTATCATGGTGACATTGCAGTTAATTCCTTTACAAAACACGTGGAGTAGCCTTGTGTTATGCGCTTTGAATGACAAAACTTTTCCAATATAAAATCTAAGGTCATATTTGCCATAAATATGTAGTATTGCGGTCTTTGTTAAATTGCATTTATGAAATTAAGCGGTTTTAGACCAGCAAATTAATTGTTTAGTCATTATGACATCATGTATCATCTTAAAATATGTAATATACATCTACTGTAATATTCAAAGCAAGTTTCATTGCACGATTATTTACTATTTTATCATTGAAGTTCTAACAATATCTTCCCTTGCATTTGAAGGTATGATAAACATATGAACATTTTTGTAAAGACCATCAAGTTTTATTGCCCATGCATTCAAAAAGATTCCAGCATTACAAAAATTGACAGGGGCATTACAAATGAAGTTGGTTAATCCTGGCTTCCCTCCTGCTCTTATTGACTAATGTATTCATTACAATTAACAATACTGATTGAATGTTTTTCTCGTCAAAATGTGTTCAATATACATGTTTTACTGTATATGTATCATCACAACTGTCCAGAATGCAAGGCAAAAGATGGTCTGAAGAATGGTTGTTCATAGCCTATATGTATTTTTCTTTAATTAGCCTAGCCTAGAGAAGCTGTGAGGCAGGGTCAATGTGATGGGACTCTTTAAACTGGATACGGAAATGGATCAATTTCAGAAACAAAGACACAGCCCATGCGATATGATATGTCTTTTTCTGTATAATTTCACAAGTTCTATGCAGAGTATTCACGAAACGGTTAGTTCAAACGATGAAGTTCAGTGGCCAAAGTGACAAAATTTAGTACAACCAGTGAAATTGCCACATTATTCGCACAACTAGTGACAACAGTAGCATATTCAGTACAACCAGTGATCAAGGAAACATACTCAGTACAACCAACGACCATAGTAACATACTCAGTACAACCAGTGACCACAATAACATACTCAATACAACCAGTCACAACAATAGCATATTCAGCAAAACCAGTGGTCAAAGTAACATCCTCAGTACAACCAGTGATAATGGTAACATACTATGTGACAAGTGACCATAATAACATACTCAGTACAACCAGTGACCATAGTAACATACTGAGTGCAACCAGTTACAGCATTGACATACACAGTAAAACCCTTAACCATAACATACACAGTGCAACCAGTGGGCAAAGTAACACACTCAGTACAACCAGTAACCTCAGGAACATAATACTTACAACCAGTGACCCCAGTAACACACTTAGTACAACCAGTGACCACGGTTACATACATAGTACAACCATTGACCAAATTAACATACTCAATACAACAAGTGGCCACAGTAACATACTCAGTACAACCAGT